CTCCTCCTCCTCCTCCTCCTCCTCCTCCTCCTCCTCTTGCGACGGCGGTGCCTGCCGCTCCGTCAGCTGCGCCTGCACGTGCTGCAGCTCCTCCAGCGCGGCCGCCAGCTGGAACTCCTCGCGGGGCGCGGGGGCCGCACGGGCAGCGGGCGCGTCCGCGCTGCCCGCGGGCGCCCGCCGGCACCGCGGGGCGCAGCCTGCCGAGCACCGGCACGGAGCACAAGGGGCGCCGAGGGGGCCCAGGAGCACTCAGATAGATGCACACAAAGCCAAGGGTTCCCAGTGCTTTTCCACCTCCTCCTCCTCCTCTCCTCTCCTCCTTCCTCTCCTCTCCCCTCCTCCCCTCCTCCCACCCCCTCTCCCCTCGCCTCCTCCTCCTCCTCCTCATCTCCTCTCATCATCATCATTCATCATCCTCGGCTCCTCCTCGTCCTCCCCCTCCTCCTCGCCTCCTCCTCCTCCTCCTCCTCCTCCTCCTCATCATCATCATCATCATCATCATCATCTTCCACGGCCTCCGTTTCCGCCCAATTCGTCGCCGACGTCGTGGTCCTCTTCAGGGTCGGCGGCACTGGCCGTCAGGCCTTCGCAATACACACAAAGCTAAGGACTCCCACTGCTTTGCCGTCTGTTCTGGATTTTCGTCTTCCCCCCCACACTTCCCATGCTTTCCAATCACGTCTGGGGAAGCGACGATGCATGGCGTCTGTGGGTTTCCTTTCCCTCCCGAGTCGCGAGGGATCGGCCGCGCCAGGGCGCAGCACCGCGCCATGCGGGCCCTGCAGGCCTCGGGCCGCCGAAGCGGACCGAGCTGGCCAGAATCGATCTCCAGCAATCGAGATCGGCCCGATCGGAGTGTGTCCTGGGCAAGTCCTGGGCCCCACTGGCCTCAGAGGAGGAGCAACCGCGTCGAGACGACGGCGGCCCTCCCTGGCGGTGCTCGTCCTCTAGTGGCCTCCTGGAGGTCTCTCTTCGGCCCGGCTGGCCGGGTCCGATGGACCCCCAGGGAGGTCCGGGGGCAGGATCGGAAAGGAGGTGGGCCGGGCGGGAGCGCCGCCGGGCAGCAGAGGAAAGAGGGAAGACTTGCGAATCAGCCAGCGGGCTTTCACGGCGGATCGAAGGGATCGTTTCGAACGGATCGGTCGAATCGACATGGGCCCTGGTCACGTCCTGCAGGTCTGGTCACACTGGAATGACCAAAACGGAAGTCGCGCCGCGACAAGCTGGCCCCCGGCCCCCAAAGTTGAAGCCAACGCATCGAGGTGCACGAACGGGGAGGCATCCAGCCAGGAGTCCAGTGCGCCGATGCGCCTCTCAACTTTGCAGGCGCCGCTCAACGATGACGCATCGTCAAAACCACCCGGCGTCGTCGTCGCGTCAATTCGGTTCGGACTTGTGCACACCAACTGTCAACCCGAAAGGAGCAAGCACGTGCCCAAAATACAGATTCCAGATGTCTGCGCAGATTTCTCGGGGCCAGCGCTGCACCCCCTCCCCACACCCCCAGGGGCGGCGCCTCTGGCACCGCCCCTGGGAACGGGGGCGCGGAGCAGTGCCCGACGCCGACCCAAGCAGTCCGCGCGGGCCTCCGACCTCCGAACAACCTTTGGTTGCTCGACCGTGGGCATTGACTCCTATCTGCCCGCGGACCTTCGACATCGTGGTGCTGTCTCATGGCGTGAGCCCCGCGGAACTCGCGTCCCCATCCCAGAGGATTCACTTTCGAACTGCTTTGCTCTCTGTGCATCGGCTAGGAAGCTGGGCGAGGGCTGCTAAAACCGTGGCTGCGAAAACGGCCCTCCCGGAAGGAAAAAACAACTTCCCGAAATGAGGCGCGGCACGCGAAACAATCAACGGGCTTCTTCCCGGAAGGACGAAGACAACTTCCTGGAGGTCGATTTTAGCAGCCACGGATTTAGCAGCTCTTGCCCGGCTTCCGATCGGTAATTCTCCTTGCTGCGAATGTCACCACGTCGCCTCGTCTGGCTTCAGGCTGCACCGCCGTGCTTCACTTCGGGCTGGCTGTGGTCGCACGGGGCGCCCAAGAGGCGCCCACCAGGCGGGCAGCGGCCGCAAGTCCGGAGCCGCCACCCAGCGCTCGAGGCGCCCACGACGCGCCCACGGGGGAGGGCCAGACGAAAGCGCTCGAGAGCGCTTCGGATTTTTGTCTGATCGGCCTGCCTGATGAGCGCCCTGGCGGGGGGACCCAGGCACTCGTCGTCGAAGCAGGGAGCCTCGAGAGCGATCGATGGCCTCCCCGAGCCTCCAGGCAACTACCACAAGCCTATAGACGTCTTTTTCGCCAAGCAGTGCTTGCACTCAAGGATTTTCACTTGCTCGTCACAGGCCTAAGCGTTTGTTTCGTGCACTGGGCTCTTACATGTTTGTCTTAAGGAACTGGGACTGTCTGGCGGTCCAGGGGTTCCGTGGTCGCCAACGCCGCCCCGTCGCCACCCCGTCGCCACCCCTCGTGTGGGCCTGTGGCTCCGTGGCCGCCGTC